GCATACCAATTAGAAACTGATAATTGGCTTGATGTCTTTTTTTTTAAACAAATATTCACTCTTCAACTTAATTAGTTTGTTAATAATCTACTGATCAATGGCATCATTCATCTATGAAATATAGCACCTACAGGCAAAGCAACTTATTTAAAAGTATTGTTTGAATAATTACTTTTTAAATTACAGCAATTTATTCTTGAGCAAGAAACGTTATTACAAAATTCTGCATAAAATAAATAAATCTACAATTAACAACAGCAGCAGCTGCATAACAATTCAATCATTATTATTATTTAATAGTAATAATTGATGTTGTAATAATTAACTTTTTAGTTTATTTAGTTACTGAGTAAAAAAAAAAACAATTAAAAGTAATTTCTGCATATCGGACACTTATAATAATCTATCATAAAATAATCTCCCATAAACAGGGCAGTACTGGTTGATCTCTAGTGTGAAACTCCCAATTGATCACGCCAGTTAACTTTTTTCTGGAAGTAGCACGCGGTGATCAGCACCTCAAATCCCTCCTGCAATAACAAAGCCAGTGACCAGCACGTTACACACATGTGGGGGTCGAGATGGACCGAGTTTACTGACGCCTGTGACAAATTCACTGTTGTTTCCAAATGTAAGTTAAGGGGGAGATGTTAAAAATGAGGTGTCAATGTAAAAACGACTCTATTTAAAGGTTTCTGGCTTACATTCACATCGGTAGGTCAACTTGAGACTAATTTTACAGCATCCTTGTAAAGTGACTCAATCAAAAACACAAACAAAACAGACAGACTGTATGGAACAATGACCAATTCGAAGGCAGCCTGTGATCCAACAGTAAACTTGTAACCCAATAATCATGAAATTGGCTTGAGTTTATAACAAAGGACCAAGCTTAAACAACAAAGCACAACAAAACAAGCCCAGGTCATCCAGTTAATCAAGTCACTAGAAAGTTTGAGTCAATCTTATTCGACGCCACTTGCGGCGTGAATCTCAAAATGAAAGAATGAAAACAGGTCTTACGAGAATGAACAGACGACTTTAATAAATTTAAACTCTTTAAACTTAACGCTAAAATACGAACAGACCGTTTATATTAACAAGTTGTTGAACTTCAACAAGCCGAAACAAAGTCTAGCCTACAATATATAACCCAACTCAGTCACGCAGTTTATAAACAAAGACAAAACCAAACACTACTAACCACGTACAAAACAAGTTTTGTCTTTAATAAAATCGTATTTTGAAGTAAAAACGAATCACAAACACAAGAGTCAGCACGTCCAGTGTTTTGGGTAACGTTAGACGTCTGGCTGGACGGTTTAGTTCTGTTATTATATAAACCAACGCTAAATAACTGACTTTATCAATATCACTATCAGAGAATTGCGTTGGCGTACCATTATTAACGTTAACTCGCTAACAGTGTGAATGTTTAAAGTAACAAACATAATGTCTTGTGGCTGGCAAATACGGCCAAGTTGAGTTTGTTTTGTTTAGTTTCGTTTTAATAAACCTGGCGGAAAGGAAACGGAGGCGTAAGTGCGTACAGGTATAATTTACCTCGATTTCAAAGTCTGGTAAATTGAACGCCGTCCTGAAGAGAGAGCAGAAGTGCGCTATGGCGGGGACTTCCCAGCAAGACTGGATTTCCTCCACAGAAGTTATACATCCCTGGGACATTTTTCTGTTATCCAACGAGTGTCTCACATTAAAAAGTGTGGCTTAGACGATTCCGTCCGGCGTGTTCCTCACATAGGACTTGTTTAACTGAACAGTAAAACTTGCTGTCCTTGCGGTGCAGTAGCCATTACGACCCGTAGAGTCGTACAATCTGTTTCAATCCGCATTTCACAGGAGGAGAACAGATGGGCTGGGCGCTACCATCTGTCAAGGGGATAGGGGTTTACGCGGACCAAAACAAATAAAATATAAAAACAAATCAAACTAAACCTTTGTGATATCTGTTGTTTACAATATTAGCGGTTTTTAATAACTAGCTGACCTGATCGAGTCTCTGTGACAGACAAAATATCTCAGTTAGCCAGGTTCGCGGTCAGGTGTCTTACCATCTCTTGAAGTGGTATGTTCATTTAAAGGGAATGCACACACATTTGAATTTCGTTGAAAGGGAAGTTGCTCTCTGTTGTAATTATTGGAGAATCCTCGCGATTGATCTAGATGTGAACGACAGATAGGATGATAATACATTACATTGACATTTTGCGTTTAATTAGTGGTTTTTCTATTATAAATTATTTGTTTGATTTAACGTTTAATTGTAGTAGCATTAAAATAAGACAATGCAATGAAGTCGTTGTTTAGTAGCTCTATTGTGGCTGTTGTTTGTTACCTACAAAAGTTGATTGGCACTGTAATTTATTGCGCTAAAGTTGTTTTTAAATAGTGCTGTTGGCATAGTGATTATAAACATAAAGTGGCATAAGACCTGAGATCGAATTATTATTTTTTAAACGTCAGAATGACACGAGTTTTTAAGACTAGTACCTTTTGACTAATTGTAATGATTTTAATAACAAATTGGTGTTCAATATAAGGATCCAGCGCCCCCTGATGACACGTAACGCACACTGTCGGTGTGCCTATCTATCTATCTATCTATCTATCTATCTATCTATCTATCTATCTGTCTGTCTGTCTGTCTGTCATTCATTCTATCTATCTATCTATCTATCTATCTGTCTATCTGTCTGTCTGTCTGTCTGTCTGTCTGTCTGTCTGTCGTTCTATCTACCACTCTATCTATCTTAAAGGTCTAAATAACACTTAGTCTAAATTTTTATTGTTTATAATTTTTGTTAAATCATTTGTTAATATATCATAAGATATACTTTCTATTTTTCAGTTTACAAAAACTTCATATGAATAATTGAAAAATGTTGTTCCCAAACAGTAGCATATGCACAGATTAGTATTTGTTGTGGTGAATAACAATGATGCTTCATTTTATTTAAAAAAAATTAAAAAAGAAGGAAAAAGATTTTTAAAAATCACATACCCAGTACTATAATATTTTTTTTATGTGAATTATGGCATTTTGTTTTATTACAGCAAGATAAATCATAATTTGTTTTATTATGATCATCAATAATCATTTGGCCACAACTGTCCAGTGGATGTACTGTAGCAGATATGGATGAAATATATTAATATATCTATTAATTAAACTTATAATTCCTTTAAAAGCGTACTTTTAAAATGATTTTTTTTATATAATAATATTAATGTGGTACTTTTTTGTAATTTGAGATGAAGCTGTGTAATGCAATGTGCATGCTTGTGTTTGTGTGTGAATGTGTGTCAAGTTTCATTAGTGGAAAGCTGTTCATTCCCTGTCTATGTCACTGGGAGTCGCCACAAGAGGGAGGGACTTAAGCACGGAGGGACAATGCTTGTGTTTGTGCAACGGCCCCTGAGTGGCGGCTGGCTTTGTTGGATCTCTCGTGCCTGACTACGGCTGCTGCACACATTGTCAGCGTGCAGAGGTGGAAGTGGACGGCTTGATCCAACCGGTCAATGCACTGACAGAGGTAAGAACATGATAATCATTCTCTCAAACTTGTGAATTGGTCAAATATGCAGGCTTGCGTGAGGGGGGATCTGTTTGGGGTAGTTGTGGAAAGTCTTAGTGAGCGAGCACTTTAGGATGGGGAGGGGGGCCAGATCTCACTTGTCTGTGTTTTGGCAGTGGAGGGGTATGAATAGAGCTGATAGGGTTGAAAGAAAGCAGTGCTGAAGAGAAAGGCATGCTCAGAATGCCACTGGGCTCCAGAAAAGACAGAGCGAGAGGGACAGAGAAAAGGGAGGATGTGAGTATGCCTGAGGAAAAGAGAGAATGGTACCCCAAATGAGGTGAGAGTTAATGGAAACATACACGAGAGTAAGGTTATGAGAGGGGGACTTTAGGACAAGCGAGGGAAAAGAGAAAGCAAGAAAAAGAGTGACCCAATGAAAAAGTGTAAAGAAATCCTGCAGTAATGAGTAGCTGACAAAATTTCAAGTGGCTTCAGTGGTTTGACTTCCATTCAAAACTATTTTAAACTTCAAATTCATTTCTGTAATTGTTATGTTTGCAGTTTATGTCACCTTATTAATTGTGAGAATATTTAAATGATTAAATATTGTAACACTTTACAATAAGGTTTTATTTACTAATAATATTATTTAATATGAACTTACAATCAAAATTGATCAATCAAAAACAATCAAAAACTATTAACATAAAATTTTAGTCAATGTTAATAGTAACAGTACATTATTAAAATCAAAAGTTGTATATGTTAATATAATTTAATGGAACCAAGATAACATGAACTAACTCTGAACAGTTGTATTTTTATTATCTAATGTTAACTGAGATATAAATAATAATAAATTAAATCAAAATAATGAATACTGTAACCACTGTACTGTTAGTTAATGTTAGTCAATGCAGTAACCAACATTAACTACTATAAGCTTTTTATAAAGCATTACTTTAAATATTTTTTAAAAATTACAGGAAGATATAGAGATTTCCTTATACTTGTAAATTTTCACCAGAAAAATTATGAATAAAAAAATGTGTCAACTACTCAAATAAAGTTTACAATACTTTACATTCATCTACTCTAGAAAACTAAAAACACTGATATGCTGACATAATATTTTCTATAAGATGTCTATATTTGCATCTTTTTACAAACGTTGATACTGTGTTGAAGAACAGGAAATCTTGTTGATAAGCCCCTCACCTGTTAGCTCTCTTCTCTAGATTAATTCAAGAGGTCACAACCTCATTAGCAGCAAGATTAGAGAGACTTTAGGAAGGAGGATGTTCTCTGTTTGTGCACCGTAGAAAAGCACTATTCAGAGGGTAAAATCAGTGAGTGTGCAAGCAATGGAAAGTCTATTTTTATTGCAGAAATATTGCGTGTTATTCTAAAAAGTCACAGCTATCCTGAATTGTATTTCTCTTGTTTCTTGGTTAACAACAAGTTCCAAGGTGATTTATTTTTCCCAAAGAGTGGCTGTTCATCCTAAAAGGAAGGGTGTGAAGGTTGGCACACCGTGCCAGAAGGCTGGCCGGGTGGGTCGTGGATGGTTTGTGCTGACACTTTTGCAGCAGAGAGAGAAGAATTGGAGGAAATCAGTTAAAGTGTGGCCAAAATGGCCGAGAAGAAAGTGAGGTAAATTTTCCACTTCCTCTGATGTCGGATATACCATTTGAGATCCATCTAAGCCATTATATCGACATGTTTTTGTGTGTGGTTTTTGTCCTGCATGTGCGTGTTTGTTTCCTGGTGTTCACAGCCTCCCTGCTAAGCTGATTAATGGGGGCGTGGCTGGACTGGTGGGAGTGACCTGCGTGTTTCCCATTGACCTCGCCAAGACCCGCCTCCAAAACCAGCAGGGTGCTCGTGTTTATAGTGGAATGTGAGTTCAACATCTTTATGAGATCCAATAACTATCCCCCACTTTGTTTTGGGGTCTCTTGATTTGAAGGTACACTTTAAAAATAAAGGTTCTTAATTGGAATCTGTGGTTGCATTAAGATCCTTTAACATCCATGAAATTTTTGCATTGCATTAAAAGTTCTTATGGCCCTGTGTGTACTTGTTTTTGTGCAGTTTTTAAAAACATTTCTGAATCTAAAAAACAACTGCTTATGGTTTCACTAAAATAAAGTGAATCGTGAACGCAGCATGTGTTAGTGATTTACTCTGGGCGGAGGACTTTGTCTGGATTTTACTGAATGACTCAGAAGATGCAAAACAACTTGAGTCTTGATGCTTTTGCATCTTTGATCTGTTCACGCTCCCAAATGTTTTTTCATCCCTTTTTAAGTAGCTTGCTCTAAGATATCTTTATGCATGTGTGATAACATTGAGATGAAGAGAAGTACTCTTTGTAGTGATGGTGCGTAAGGAGCTCTTTTCTTCTTTGTACACTTATGTAACAAGCAAAATACCCAAGAGGTTTGTGGGCAAGAGACAGGCTGCTATGTTTTAAGCTCTTTCTTCCGCACATTACTCACTCCTCTAAGAATTCTTTGTGAATGTCTAATTTGGCTGTTCATTATACACAGACATAGAGAACATTTCGGTTTCGGTGTTTAAGAGATTTTTTCTGGTTGTTAAATTACATTAATAAGGAATAGAATACAACATTATAATGCATTTGTTTTATAATGAATTGTGATTTCATTATATTTCAATTAGGATATTTCACAACCAGATTGGAGTATTTAATTAATCATGTTGAACATTTCTGTCTTATTATGAAGGCTGGACTGTTTGGCAAAGACGATCAAAATGGAGGGCTACTTTGGCATGTACCGAGGTATGAACTTTCTTTTCTTGTCTAGTGCTGACTTGTACTGACTCAAAATTAAAATCAAAATTTAATTTACCACCATGTTGCACATTCCTGCTGTTATTGAGGACAGTTTTATTTCAAATATTAATAGTTTTAATTGTTTACATGTTCTGGGATATTTTGCTTATGTTTATGTTCTCAGAATTTCACTTTACGGTGTTTTTCCTCAGGTGCAGCTGTGAATCTTACACTGGTCACTCCAGAGAAAGCCATTAAACTGGCTGCCAATGATGTCTTCAGACAGAAGCTCTCCAAAGATGGGTAACCACCACTTTTTAACCACTTATAAAAGCAAGCATCTCATTACAGTTTAAAATATAAAGAAAAAAATTCTGCAGCACTAGCAGAATTGAAAAAAATAATGACTGTTTCAAACAGGTTTCTGCAACACTCCCACATATGATATTTGTCTAAAAAAGCTATACTAAATTAAATCTCACAATTAGTTGAAAGCAGTATGTGTTTGATCTACTAAAAGTATTGGCTAATTCATTCATGAATCGGGCTGCACTTGTTGCGCTGTATGTTTCTGATTCACTGAAAAGAACGGTCACATTGGAATCAAAGGAATAATACACCTAAAAATGAGCATTCTTTCATCATTTACTTACTTTCATGTTGTTATAAACCTGTATGACTTTCATTTTACTGTAGAACACAATGGCTCTGGTTGCACCGTATGTTTTTCATTCACTAAAATGAATCAGCTCATTAGAGTCATTGTTTAGAAATCAGACTGCTCTGGTTGCATTGTATGTTTTTGATTCACTAAAAAGATTTTGCACACTAGAGTCATATGTTCAGGAATCGGACTGCTCTGGTTGTGCTGTATATTATTGATTCACTAAAATGAATCGGCTCATTAGAGTCATTGTTTAGGAATCGGACTGCTCTGGTTGCACTGTATGTTTTTGATACACTAAAAAGAATCGGCACACTAGAGTCATATGTTCAAGAATCTGACCACTCTGGTTGTGCTGTATGTTTCTAATTCACTAAAACCAATCAGTTCATTTGAGTCATGTTTAGGAATCGGACCGCTCTGGTTGCTCTGTATGTTTTTATTCACCAAAAAAAAATCTGCACACTAGAGTCATGTTTAGGAATCTGACTGCTCTGGTTGTGCTGTATTTTTCTAATTCCCTAAAATGAATCGGCTCATTAGAGTCATATGTTCAGGAATCGGACTGCTCTGGTTGTGCTGTATGTTACTGATTCACTAAAATGAATCGGCTCATTAGAGTCATTGTTTAGAAATCGAACCTCACTGGTTGCACTGTATGTTTCTGATTCACTAAAATAAATTGGCTAATTAGAGTAAATTGTTTGAGTGTCGGGCTGTACTGGTTGTGTTGTGCTGGATGTTTCTCATCTGCTGAAAAGAACTGGCTCAGTAGAGTGTGGATTCAATAGCAGTTTTAGGAAAACAGTGCAGGCAACTGTTTTACTATGTTTCTTAACAAAGACCTTAGAAAACATTATCTATAAGCTATTCCACAGAGGCATTTAGGTCACCAGCTGACTAATCTAAGCAATTATTTCTTTGGTAAATGCAATAATGATCATGCTCTCATCTGCCCCATCTGTCATTGTATCTGTCACCCACAGAAAATTAGCTCTGTGGGGGGAAATCCTTGCGGGCTGTGGAGCTGGAACCTGTCAGGTGGTAGTCACCACCCCCATGGAAATGCTAAAAATACAACTGCAGGATGCTGGAAGGTTGGGTAAGTGTATTTATTATGCTCCCGTGAGTGTCATCCAAGGTATGTAGGTCTCTATCTTAGGATGCCTTACTAAGTACAAAGGTTAGCCAGAAATAAGCTGTTTGAGTAGAATGGTGTCCACCGAACAGCAGTTCCAGTTTCATTACACTACAAGATAAAATATAAAGATGATATTGAAGATATGAGTTGTAACTTCTCCACTTTTGTCTTCACAAGCTGCTCAGCGGACTGTCGCTGCCTCTGCCTCTGCCACTAGTCCGACCCCCTCGCTGGTTGCCTCTCGGGCAGCACAGCCGGGCACCAACGCCCCTCCTCAACCCTCAGCGACCCGTATCACCCTGGAGCTACTCAAGACCCGAGGCCTCAGGGGACTTTATAAGGGAGCAGGTGCTACATTGATGAGGTAACAGACAATCAGTCATATAACCAATAGTAATATGGACTATAAGGAATGTTTTTGATGTTTTCAAGGAGTACTTCACTTACAAATGAAAATCCTGTCATCATTTACTCCACCAAACCTGCATGACTTTGTTTCTACAGTGGAACATAAAAGGATCAATTTTGAACATATTGGTAATGGAGCTTTCAAGGTCAAAAAAGAAACCAAAAGCACTGTAAAAGTAATTCACAGGACTCATGTGCTTCTTCTGAAGCAATACAAATCATCATTTAGTCATGAATAGACTCTATTTTAAATTGTTATTCATTCAAATCTTTCCCTCCAGTCAGCCTTTATGACTGGTTCACTGAATCAGTTAGAATTCAAGAATCGAATCAGTCTGATTTGTACACAAATCGTTCAAATTGGTTTTGTGAACTAGATCAACAAATTAATTGCAAAGATCAGACTCATAAGACAGATCAAAGTCTGCATTAAATGGAAGTTGCGATCATCTTTCTTCCCTATATATTTGTATAAGTGAAACCACTCCTTGAATGAGAAAAAAATGACTTGTTTTTGTCCATAGGGAATTGATTTAAATGAACTGACAGAATTTTTTAAAATAATGTTGTGCATGGATGAATCATTTATAATTAACACTGCAATATTGGATTAAAATAAAATAAAATGAAATAAAACAAAACTGTCCGTTTTAATTTTATGGTGGTCCGTTCACACCAAGAATATTAACTATGAAGATATCTAGATTAGTGTCTACATCAGTATACAGTAGTCGTATGTTTTCTTTTGCTTTAAATGCTTGAGCTCTTTAAAATTGAGTGGTTCTGATTGGCTGTCTATGTTTTTATTACTCACAAGTTGAAAAAAATTGCTCTGAAGTGATTCCAATGACATCTTTACTGTGTGTCATAATCATTATAATTATGATATGGAACTTTATCATTTGAATTATCGTCCTTGGTGTAAATTGGTGTTAATTCGTGAATCGGACATGCCTACTGAAGATTTTAATAGAATAACAACTTAAATTTTGGTTTGTTCATCAAACAAATCTATTGTATGACTTAGGATATAGTGCATGAGTCATATGGACATTTTTATGAAATTCTTTGTTGTCTTTTGAGAGCCCAATTATCATACACTTACATTATATTGTAACAGAAGCCAAGAAATTCTTTAAAAATGTCACCTTTTATGTTCCATAGAAGAAAAAAAGTCATAAAGATTTGGACCACATGCCACCCTTATAAATAATAACAGAATCTGCTAACAGCTAACATAGATTAGTTATTTGACCTAAAGGGATAGTTCACCTTCAGTTGCTGGTCCCCACTGACTTTCCATAGTATAGAAAAAAAACACTATGCAAGTCAATAGGGGCCAACTGAAGGTGAACTATCCCTTTAAGTCAAATAACTAAGCTATGTTAGCCGATCAACATCTAGATCATTTTGCAAACCTTCAGTGATGTGCTGTCTTAACTAACTTAAGTGATTGCTCTCTCAGCAAACGCATTGTTTTTTTTTTACAAAAGGATGGATATGTCACATGACCTTTCACCTTTAACACCTCCCACACAAATAAACCCACTCACCTATCCAAACAGCCCCTCCCCCGCAGTCTGTGATGTAATCCCAGCTGAACTGATGTAACCTGCCAGCTGTCAGTTCTGATCTGTTATTCATAGCTTCTAATTAACCGTAGGCGGAATTCTCTTCTTAACGGAATTCTAATCAGAACTCAATCTGTTGTCTCTAGTCTGTGGCCTACACAGCCTAAATTATATTTCTACACTCACACTTTCACGTTTTACATTTACAGACTAAAACTAATCAGACACCGCAATCAATCACGACTCATCAATAACGTCCTGCAGCTATGTCTACATTCTGTGGCGCTGTGTCTGTTCTCTATGCAGGGACGTCCCGTTTTCCATGATCTACTTCCCGCTGTTCGCCAACCTCAACGCCGTGGGCCGCACTGAGGATCGCTATAGCAACCCCCAGGAGCGGGCCCCCTTCCTGCAGTCTTTCGTGGCTGGCTGCACGGCTGGCTCAGTGGCGGCAGTAGCTGTCACTCCCCTGGACGGTGAGATGCAGGCAAGAGAGGAGTAGAGGAACACAGTTTGCTCTCTCTCCTTTGGAAATGTACGCAGATAAATGTCCCATTCAGTTAGTCAGAGCCGTCCAAGCCTGTAAAAATCAGGGCTAATCCTGTTTCAACACTACTACTGCGCTGCTGAGAAACTGTTGGGTGTTCATAGTCAGTTGTTATGGTTTTTGTATGGCTAACAGACACTAAATAAATAAATATATATATATTTATCAATATATGTATTTTATATAATATTCTATTTGTGAATATATTGAGTTTGATTTTATTTTTGTATTTTCAGTTTTCAATTTAATTTTAGTTTGTTAAAGTAATTTAGGTGCTTTTGTCATTTTTATTAGTTTATTTTATATTTATATTTAGCTTTATTTATTTTTTATTTTATTTTAGTACTTCAACTCAACTTTATTTCAGTTAGTTAGTTGCCAAAGAAACATTTACTATTTTTGTTTGTATGTTTGTTTGTTTATTTATTAGTTAGTTTAAGTTTCTTACCTAATATTTGTTATTTTATAAGTATTATATATTAAATATTATTATTTATTTTATTTCAGTCTTATTTCTATTAACACATTTTTTATAGTTGTAGTATTTTTACTGCATTTTTACAGCACTGCATTTTTTGTATCTGTCGGTTAGCGAAAAAAAAAAGAACTAAACAGATGTATCCACAAATAGTTACTTACACATATACATTCATTTTTGTACTTCTATAGTCTTTTACACAAGTACTCAAAATATTTTTAACATTTCTTTAAAAAGTACTGATTACTTCTAGTACTGAAACTTAATCGAATTAATCACTTAAAAATATCTTTTTGTGATGAATTATGAGTAGGCTACATTTTTACCAAACTATTCCCTATCTAGGTTACTCCCAGCGTTTCATAAAGGCACAGAATGAGTCTTTTGTTTCTGAGTGATTAATTAGTGAAGCCTATGTGCTGTGGAAGAATCCTGCTGTGATGTGTAAACTGAAACATTTCATTTGCTTTGAAGAACATGCAAAGTCTGCTTTCAAGTTCTATTCAGAAAGCGTTCTGTTTATAGCTCGTCTCTACATCTATTGTATCGTCTGAGAGACAATTCTTTGTCACCTAAAACATCAGTGAAGGGTACAGAAGGATTATTTGGACAGTGGAAACACTGGCAGCCGCTTCAGTGTCTCTATTTGAAGATTTGGCAGTACTGTCTGCAACATTACATTGTTTAGCAGCTCATAAATAGAATACAGGAAATCTATCACCCAGTTTTTCAACACTTAATTAGTCCTAACTTTTTTAAGGAGAGCATACAGCACGACACAGACACTAATTAAAGTTTATGTGCTTAAAGTCCTTATGCAGAAACATCTAATTAATGTTTAACTAACATTTAAAAAAACCAACAGCTTCAAAATTAGAAATTTGAGTTTTTTTCTATTTTTGGTATTTTTAAACGAATCAGCCATAAACACAGGAATTCCCCAAGGGAACCTATACAGTAGCAATGTTGATTATTAAACAAATCTGTTTTTTTTGGAATCAGAACTTTTATATGAATCAGTTGAACTGGTTTACAAAACTGATCTGACCATTTTGTTCATGGATCTGAATTATTTATAGCGTATTCTCGAGTCAACAAATACTTTTTAATTATTAAAAAATTCACAAGTGTAAATTGAGTATTTATAAATTGATTAGTTCTTGACTTGATAAATTGACTTGTTCAGTGTAGACTTATTCAGATTTGGACTTTTATTTAGAGTTTTACATTTGTTATGAAGTGAATCGTGCTGCGACAAGCTGAATTGGGACAAATTAAATTATAATAAATACCTTTTTTAATAAAACTTAAACGAGATATCCTACATGTGGCTTTAATATCATATTTCAGAGAATGTTTTTCTTTTTTATATTAAATAATTGAATAAACAAGCAATTAGCACTGCATTTAAGAATAATACATTAAAAAATTAAATTAATTGTATATGGTTTTAGAGAATGTAGTATGTCAGGGAACATATGACAATAACATCATGATTTAAAGGGATAATTTAGTCATCTGATAAACACAAGAAGTTATTTTCAATTGACGGTAGCCATTGACCCACATATTGGATTAACCATCCCTTCAAAAGAATTGCTAAATAGTTTTTTCTTCTTTTTTAAACAGTTCTTTGAAATGAACTGTTTGCAAAACAACAATTCTTGGAAATGAATCATACTAACTACTGTGCAGCTCTGTTATAACCTGCATTTGGGAAACCAGATCTTAAAATCATAAAAATATTTAAAAAAATATGAATTAATGTATCTATTAATATTTATCATTTTCAGTTATAAAGACCCGTCTACAGACCTTACAGAAGGGGGAAGGAGAGGACTCCTACAGAGGCATCATCGACTGCGTACAGTAAGCTTTATATTTGCATGTATTGACTTCTTATATGGTACTATACAGTTTCCATATTCATGTATCATGTTATTTATATGGCAATCTTTTCACAGGCGCGTTTTAAAACGAGAAGGACCATCCGCGTTTCTTAAAGGAGCAACATGTCGAGCTTTGGTCATCGCTCCGCTCTTTGGCATCGCTCAGGGCGTGTATTTCCTGGGCATCGGCGAGCACGTGCTGGGGCTGCTGGGATAGCGGCAGGTGACATTACCTCAGTCATCATACACACAGTACTGTTTCTACATGGGCCAAGGGATGAAGATGAGAGATGAAGGAAGACGTGGCTAAAAGAAGATAAAATGATGATAAAGGAAGCTCCCCGACTTTATTTACGATGAGGTAAATATGGAGGGAAATTCACATACCCAACCAAAGGAGGTTCAGACACTTTGGGAGAACAGAGGAGGGTTGTGTAAAGCTAACATAAAAGCCTATATTGCACACTAACCATGTTTAAGTACCGAAAAACTACAAGCAGGGTTCTTTAGGTAAGACAGGGTCCTGTTCCGACTAATCTGGCAGGGTTTTTTGTCCAATTAATATTGTTTTTATGTCTTTAAAGCCCATAGCTACAATCAGTTTTAAGCCAACATGATTCGTGATAATCGGTTGTGAACAGGGTCGATGTGTATTTAGAAAGGTATTGAAGCCCATTTTCACCAAGGAATAAAAAACAATGATAATTGTAACTTTTTATCTTACGATTCAGACTTTATTTCCTTGCAATTCTAAGAAAGAAAAGTCAGAATTGTGCTCAGAATTTTGAGTTTACATCTCACAATTCTGTTTTCTTCTGTTTTCCCGCCACCAAATAAAAAATTAAAAAAGGTAATTATCTCACAATTCTGTGAGGCAACATCTCGCAATTCTGACTTTTTTCTTGCAATTCCAAGTTTATGTCTCACAATTATAAGTTTATATCTTGCACTTCTGACGTTTTCCTCTGAATTCTGAGTTTATATCTCACAATTGTTTTTTGTTTCCGCCACCAAATGAAAAAATAAAAAAGATAATTATGATTGTTTCTCACAATTCTGAGTTTACATCTTCCAGTTCTGTTTATATCTCTTAATCCTGACTTTTTTCCTCAAAATTCTGAGTTTAAATCTCAAAATTGGGACTTTTTTCTCTGAATTCTGAGTTTACATTTCGCAACTCTTTTTTTTTTTTCCACCATCGGATGAAAAAATTAAAAAATTAATTGCGGCTGTTTCTCACAATTCTGTTTATAGCTCACAATTCTGACAATATTTATTTTGTTTATATCTCACAATTTCTTTGCTTAGAATTCTGAGTTTATATCTCTTAATTCTGACTTTTTCTCACAATTCTGAGTTTATATCTCAATTCTGACTTTTTTTCCTATAGAATTCTGTTTACACATCTCAAAATTGGGACTTTTTTCTCTGAATTCTGAGTTTACATTTCGAGTGTACTTCTGTAAAAAGAAACAATAGCAGAAAAATGTAAGATATTTCTGTTTCAAATACAGTATTTTAATAATACCAAGAAAGAGATATTTTTAAACGCATGTAGTGGCATATTCCTGGAAGACAAGACTTGATTTCTGAGAGAGAGAAAAAAAACATCTCATATTCATGTTATACTAAATAATTGTAATGAGCAACAAGCAATCTGTATTAAATATGCAATTACTCCAGTCTTCAGAAATCATTCTGATATGCTGATTTATTATCTGCTGTACAGTATGTTGGAAACGGTTATGCTGCTTAATATGTTTTGGAACCTGTGATACTTTAAGATTCTTTGATGAATAAAAGGTTAAAAAGAACAGCATTTATTTCAAGTAGAAATCAGCTGACCTGTAACACCAGCCCCTCCAGCAGTGTTGGGTACTCATTTGGGTTTTTGGCAATGTTGGCCATCCGTTGTCGTGCTTCATTAAGGAGATCCTGCAAAGAATCACATGAGGAAGACGAAGGTGAGATTTCTTGCAATTCTATAAAAGTATAAACTATAGAAATGTCAAAATGACATAATCATCATACCTTAATCATGTCATCACGGGCTTTGAGTACCTTCAGTCTGGCCTGGTTCAACAAATTTGACATTTGGCTGTGGATTTGAACGGAGGCGAGACGTTATTAAATAATCTAAAGGTCTCATGTTACTCATTTAAAGAACCCAAAACTCACATTTTCTTCTGTTGTTCAATCTGTTTCTCTTTCTTCTCATAGTACTCCATTATCTTCAACCTCTGAGTCTGTACCAGTCGTCCTTTTTCGATATTAAACTCTTCTTCTGCCTGCAAGCCGCAAGACACATGATGCTCTAGACAAATTCAGACCATATTCATGCACTTATGCTAATCACTGCATTAATACTTTACCTTTGCATCTATTTCTTCTGCCTTCTCATTGGCTTCCTGCTCAATAAAGGCCATCATGTGTTTGATCTGGAGAGATGCAAGGAGATCGGTGTCAATAAAAGAGCAAAGCCAGGTTAAATTACAATGTAAGAGTTTCCCAGCCCCTCTGATCCTTCATTGAGGTGATGTAATATAATAAAAGGCGATGAGGGTAGATAGTGATGGGGAAATGAGACTGAAAATGTTTCATCAGTGCTGTTGGGAAAGTCCATGGATGTGTGCTGGACAACTGAAGGACAGAGATTTCCTCTTTTGGCTTCATAATACACAGCATTAAACACTCACACAATATTAATTAATGCAATCTAGATTCGAGATGGTGCCTTTGTCCTCCTCAAAGTGAATGGAATATAAAGAGATGTCTAGCTACAAGTACAAGACAATAAATAATAATAACATAATGCATTTTATTTACACACGCCTTTCAAAACACTTAAGCACACCTTACAAACAATATATAATTCATAACAAATATAATAAACAGCATCAGCGTTATTAAAATGCAATCCTATGATTAAAGCTGATTTTAAAAGATGAGTTTTAAAACGTGATTTAAAAGTAACGAGACAATCACTTTCACATTCTTAAAAAAATGTTTATGACAATTATCTAAATATCAGTTCAGATTATGCCAAAATAATGACACTGTTGATTTTTTTTATTAGTTATTATTATTAGTTTATAAAACATATACAGTATAAAATGTGTATCCTAAACGTACCGCATCAGATTTGTGCCTGTAATGTTTCGTTATAAAAGTCATGGGACTTCAAAAGTGCAGCTATTCGTGTCATGAGACTTACAACAGACATTTTTATAATTTACAATACCTGATCTGTAATATAATGGTTAATTAAATCAACTCTAAACTTAGCTTATGAACTTCTGGTTTTCTTACCTGTTTCTGTACGGCGGCATCGCTGAGCGCCATGGCTGGTGTTTTTAAGGCGCTGACTGCGATCTTAAGAGAGATTTATCAAAGGAAATATTTAAAACTAACTTTGGAACTACTAAACTAATCTATCCACTGCTTTATTTATATGACTAAAACTACAGTTCCGCCAAGCGTCAGCTGACAAGGATGAAGGGGTCACGTGACTTGAAGCGTCACGTCTGAGTTAAGGCTCCGCCCATTTATCTGTTTCTTGAGCTTTGACTTCAAACAGACTTTATGACTTACTATGTGCAGTAGGTTATTAATTCTTAAAAAGTTGTAATTGTGAACAACTGTAAGAAAACATATTTAATCCTATTAAATGTCCAAGACTAAATATTACTATAAAAGGTCATTTTCACAATGGGAAACCCTGTTGAACCACATGCTATGTCTCCTAGTACCCTACTTTTGTAGACATATATTTCAGAATGACTTTTTAAAGGCAAGCATTTGATTGTCATTGTTTGCACATTTAAAGAATTGATTCAAATCCAAATAATGCTAAATATATTTAAGTTTGAGACTAAGTCAATTAGCGGATACCCAGATAATCTTGACCTTCGGCCTTTTCATGAGCAGCTCTGAAGACTAGTATCTTTCACTCTTGATTTATACACGCTATAAAGTGGATTTGATGTGAGTTGAAACTTTTCTTTGTCCCTCTTCTTCTTCTTTTTTTTTTCACTGAGAAACACAAAGCAATGCACACCTGGAGCAGATACACCTACAAAAGTTGGCTGCATCAGGTGACAAAAGTCACATTAACCTGCATCAGCTGAGAACTCAACATATGTCTGTCAGTGTATAAGAGCAGAGACCTACAGTAGAGATCATTCCAAGAACAGGAGAACATGACACTCTATCTAGCAGTCTTTGCGCTCTTGGCAGCAGTTCACTGCAAGGTGCTCTTTAATGGGTAATTAGAGATACTTTTTTATTCTTTTATGACTTATTAATGTATATCAGCCTTGTTTCTTGTTTAAAATGTCTTTTTTCTTTCTTAATAGAGACCAAGTTCTCCGAATCCATGCAGAATCTGAAAACCACATTCAGATTTTGAAAAAGCTGGAAAGGGATGTGGATTCTGGGGTAGGCTATCTGTTAAATGCCTGCTGTTACATGTTTTAATTTTTATTTGATCACATATATGCAATCTGACATGGAAATCTCCCAGATTGTGGAATATGTATTATGCGATCCTCTAGCTGGATTTCTGGACTTATGCCGTCTCTACTGAGCAACCTGTTGACATCCATGTGCCTCACTCCAGTCTGTATGCTGTCAAGGACTTCCTCAAGAAAAACAACATCCCTTTCACTGTCATAATCAACAATGTGCAGGTGAATTATTTATGGAAATCTATACACAAAATAACATTATTAGCCTTTGCGCAATTTGTAGAAGAAGATCAGCGATTGATTATGATCCTATAAATTCCAATAGTTGTGATTTTTCAGTAAAGTAATCGTAATACACAACTTTTTCTGTGTCTCAGGAACTTTTGGTCAGAGAGAGAGAAGAAATGGTTCGCAATGCAGAAGTGGAACGCCAGACCAGGAGCTTCAACTTTGCTGCTTATCATGACCTGGAGACTGTAAGTACATGTTCTGACTTTTGCAAAAATCCATGTTCAACCATATTTATAACCTAACAAAGCATCTGAATTTCTTTTTATTCCTTTCAGATTTACGATTTTATGGACACCCTTGTTGCAAGTCACTCTAAACTGATCTCTAAAGTGAATATTGGCAGCACTTATGAGAACCGTCCCATGTATGTCTTGAAGGTAAACAGGTCATATGCTTATAAACTCAGATTACAGACTGATATCTATCACTACCTGATTTTTTTGTATATTTACAATGCATCCAGTTCAGCACTGGTGGAGAGAAAAGACCTGCAATCTGGATTGATGCTGGAATCCATGCGAGGGAGTGGATTTCTCATGCTACTGCAGTGTGGCTTGCTGACCGGGTGAGTGAGATTGGTGAAGAATGATAGCTTTAGTGTTTGTTTCACTCTGTTTGTCATAGTATATTCAGAGCTGTTTTCTTATTTTTCTTTTCTGACAGGAAATATGATATTTGCCAACACATTTAGCTTTTGTTGTTTACTTGCTATTATACATGAGCTCCATTTAAAAAAAAATAAATAAAAATTCAACAACCATCTGTTTAAGATGCCAATTGTCAGGTAAAAGGTCCATTAATAAATGGATGCTTAGAGATTCTTTTTAGCAAGATTTTATTTCATTTTATTTTTTTTAAATGGTATGTGCAGTAACAAGATCTTTTATTATTTAATATTTATTTTTAAATGTTTAAATTTTCCAGAAAGAGAGCTCATGTGCAGCCGCAATGAACGTTTTAGCAAGATCTTTTATTTTATTTTTATGTACTTTTATGTAAATGTTTTAATTTATTATTATTTTCATTTTTTTAACATCCTTTTAACATTCTAAACTTTTTGACTCTGTAGATTGCCACAGACTTTAAGGAAAACCGTGCCCCTGTGCCCAGTATCCTTAGTAAAATGGATATTTACTTGATGATTGTGGCCAATCCTGATGGATATGTCTTCACTAAACACTCTCCCAATGTAAGCAGCCATTCGCTGGTTTGCATAAAGCACAAATAAAAATTGGGACTTTTTTCTCTGAATTCTGAGTTTACATTTCGCAATTCTGTTTTTTTTTCCCCACCACTGAATAAAAAATAAAATAGGTAATTTATCTCACAATTCTGTGAGTTTAAATCTCACAATTTTGAGTTTGTCTCTCAAAATTGCAAGAAAAAAATCCCAATTGTGAGATAAAAAGTCGCAATTACCTTTTACATTTTTTTTTATTCTGTGGCAAAAACGGGCTTCCATTGAGAGGAGACCTGAATCAAAGTTGAGATGTATCTGTATCATCTAAATTTATGTTTTGGTTTTCTACTGCTGATTACCACCATTTAAACAGCAAAAAAAAGTGTTTGCTGACCTATTCTGGCGGCTGCTTTAGTCCTCGTCTCAGTAAATCTCAGTCTCTACTTGTGAAGAGACTGCTGGACATTACAGCGGAGGCCTTGTCCTTCTATTATATGTTCCTCTGCGGGACAAAATTCCTTGTAGGTTATATAATGTTGACCTAATATTTTTTAATGCTTCTTTAAATGATTTTGTTGAGTACACAATAAATTAAAATGCTACAAAGCCTTATCTTTGCCACTCAAGTTTTTCACTGAAAAATAACAAAATATAAGTACCAGTGGCTTCTTATGTAGAGAACTGATTTTGCTGGAGTTTTTTTTTCACATTGGGTAGAAAAGGGTACAGTGAAAAATAGAGAAATGAGATCTTGAATAGTTTAATTTTGAGTGTACTTCTGTAAAAAGAAACAATAGCAGAAAAATGTAAGATATTTCTGTTTCATTACTTGATGATTGTGGCCAATCCTGATGGATATGTCTTCACTAAACACTCTCCCAATGTAAGCAGCCATTCGCTGGTTTGCATAAAGCACAAATAAATATTTAGAAGCATTTTATAAGCTTTTGTAATTGCATATATTATTAATTAACATTACTTTAGGAGTTTTACCGTTTCTGGCGTAAGAGTCGGTCTGCGACCTCTAACCACAAATGCCACGGTGTCGACCTCAACAGAAACTGGGATGCTGAATTTGGTGGTAAATTCATATTGTCATTTTCTCTTGTTTCAACAGATCTGAATTACTTTGCTTTATTAAATGTCGTCTACATTTTCTCCAGGTCCTGGAGCAAGCGATGACCCCTGCGCTGAAGACTACCACGGTCCTTCTGCTCAATCTGAGATTGAAGTGAAAAACATTGCAGATTTGATCATGAACCACGGCAACTTCAAATCCTTCATGACCCTCCACTCTTACATGCAGCTCTTAATGTATCCGTATGGCTACATCGGCATAGATGCTCCTGACCAGACTGAACTGGTAAGCAAATCTACTCCCATAAACCTCCTTGGCTTTCTGAATCTTGTCTGTTTTATGATCTCACAGTGATATTTTTTGTGTGTTTTTTCTAGCATGATGTGGCCTCACAGGCAAGCAAAGCCCTCAATTCCTGGCATGGCACCGTTTATAAAGTTGGAAGCATCTTCCACACTATTGGTAAGTGGATTGTGGAAGTGGATCTGTTTTAACCACTTACCAAGACATGGAATATCACATTTAAAAAGTATTGATTACTAAAATTGTGTTTTGCAGTAATGAGAATGATTTTTAGAGATTTTAATAATCTAAACAATCTTTATAGTTCAAAAAAATCTTTAGGATTCTTCACTATAAAGATCCCTTTGTCCAGTGAAAAGGTTCCATGGTTCTTCATACTACTGATGCTAGTTAAGAACTTTTATTTTTATTTTGTCTGTGTTCTAGACTATGCATGGTTTTGTCATTGGTTTACATTACACTGAATACATTTTAGTACAAATTGCATTCAGTGACCATATTCGGCAAGATTTATGATCATCATAATCATGATTCATAAATAATCCATTCATCTTTTCTCATTCAAACGCTATATAGCTACGGTCTATTTTCCACTTTGGTTTTAAATTTATTTACCAAAATAATAAGTATGCTTAATTAGACAACAATGTGCTTTATTTATCAATACTTACTGACGAATATTCAAGATCTTGAAAACTTTGTCCATGCAAAACAACAAGTAAAGCACATTCACACTCAGACAAAATGGTACAAAAGTTGGCGGTACCCTTTCAAAAAGTACTAATATGTACCTAAACAGAAGAGTTCACTCAAACATGAAAATGTGACAGTTTAATCACCCTCAGGCCACTGAAGATATTGATGAATTTGTTTCTGCGTCGGTTTGTTATGGTAGAATGTGTTGATTTGAAAGGTCAATTTGCATGAAAAGACTGAAGAGTTAAAAAAAAATGGTCTCAGTATTGCAAAATGCATGTTTCTTTTCAGAACCAGCTAGTGGTGCAAGTGTTGACTGGGCTTACCAACGTGGCATCAAATATTCTTTTGCTTTCGAGTTGCGTGACACTGGTAAATATGGATTCCTCCTGCCTGCCGACCAGATCGTTTCCACTGCAAGGGAGACGTGGTATGCTCTCAGATACATTATGCAATATGTTTGTGATCACCCTTACTGAGAGAAATGTAATGAAGCTTCAATAAA